AGGAGTTTCCTGGTGTGGTCAGGAAACTGTACAAGCTTTAGGAGGTGCTGTATGAATGTATGAATGTATTAGTAGTAGCAAGTTATTATTAATGGCACTGATGGTATCAACGTAAGTAACAAAGAGCCGTTTATTACACATACGTGTGTCCAGCACTTTACAAATGCCCTCTCATTTAATTCCCACAGCGACACTGACTATTTTACCAGTGAGATTCTGGAAAGTTAAATAAGTTATATCCCAAAGGACACACAGTGTCAGACCTGAGATTAGAACCACTCTGTCTGATTCCTAAATGCTTCTGCCACTCGGGGCTATTCACAGGCACCCAGTGGGTGAGTGACAGCATGGGGCCTGGGCTAAGTAGTCAGGGGCCTTTCCACTGCATCTCCCTCCTTCTTAAAGGGTCACCCACAAGGCTGTCTTATAACTGGGGCTTAATGGGGGCTGCTCAGCCTCCCTTCCAAATAATCCACCTCCAACGTATTTTATGTTTTGTAAGGTCCATATTTAGAACTTGTAAGGAGTAGAGTGGCTATGAGAAGGTGACATAGATGGCTCAGGAGAGTTACAAAGACATATGTTTTTCTGTATTTATGAATATCTTTACATCTTTAAAAGCTGTGGCCTCAGGCAGATTGCCTGCAAGGCAAACCAGAGAATACCCCTCTCTGCAACAACTCTGCACAAATGTTATCATTGGTATGGGGTGATGGGTAAGAGTCGGGGTTTGGAAGCACATTTCCAGGGCTTGAACCACAGCTATGCCTGCTTGCTAGGTGTGTGCAACCTCAGGCGAGTTTCTAATCAGGACAATGTAATATTTATCTCCTGTTTGTTGTGAGTAGTAAACCAGACAATATATGCAAAGTTATTTAGTACAGTGAGGCACACACAGAAAGGATTCAAAACATATCATCATCATCTACCTAATGCTGTTTCATTGTCTTGTGTGTGAAGTCAGCTAACATCTTACTGAATTTATTTAAAGTGTGATAATATAATGCTCTCAGGTTATTGTCCTTTTAACAGAAGCAATTGAGAAAAATCCAACTAAATAGTGTTAAACTAATAAACAGCCCATTGTATCCAAAATAATCAGCTTTCACCTTGTAAAATAGGAAGAAGGCAGAAAACCTTGCATTGGTGGTAGGGTTTTAATATTATTTGTGGTACCCTGCTGAACTGAGTGAATAGTACCTTTTATCCATGTATTCACCCCTCCATGCTTCTGTCCACTTGTCCATTTGAAAAGCACTTAAAGATGGACATTTAGGTTACTTCCATGTCTTGGCTATTATAAATAGTGCCACTATGAACATTGGGGCAATGGATAAAGATGTGGTGTATGTGTATTTATATATGTATGAATATATATATATATATATAAATACACATACACACAGACAATGGAGTACTACTCAGACAATAAAAAGAATGAAATGATGCCATTTGAATTGGGGGGGTGGTAATCAGGTTTATTTATTTATTTTAGTGGAGCTACTAGGGATTGAACCCATGACCTCTTGCATGCTAAGCAAGCATTCTACCACTGAGCTATACCCTCCCCCGCAAAATAATGCCATTGCAGCAACACGGATGGATCTAGAGATTATTATACTAAGTGAAGTAAGTCAGACAGAGAAAGACAAATATATGATATCACTTCTATGTGGAATCTTAAAAATAGTACAAATGAACTTATTTACAAAACAGAAACAGACTCACAGACATAGAAAACAAACTTATGGTTACCAAAAGGGAAACTGGGGGGGGGATAAATTAGG